GTATGTATGTATGTATGTATGTATGTATGTATGTATGTATGTATGTATGTATGTATGTATGTATTTATTTGTATTTTATTTAAAATAGATCCAGCTCGCTTCAGGTTTCTGTTATCAGAGCAGGAGATAATGAGCTTTTAAGATTTGTGAGTGTTTCTTCTAACAGAGGGGATCGGGGGTCGAGAAATCACGTGGAAAAGATAAGCGGGTTTTAAACGTGGCCAAAGTCCCCCTGCAGTGAGCAGGTCGGGGTCCTGAAGGCTGCGGCTGTCCTGAGTGCTTTACCTGGGTCATCATGCGGTCTGCACCTGTGTTCTCCTCATCCTTGAAGATGATGTCCGGGTTATAGTTGGGGATGAGCTCCTTGAAGCGCTCGGAGCTCCGGGTGATCTTCCCCTCGTATTTCCCGCTGGCTCCCAGGGTCTTCTCGGCCACGTTGGGGCTGAACTGCTTGTAAGCCAGCGGCACGAGCTTCCGTGGCGCGCGCCTTCTCCCGTGACCCTTCCCCGGGCCGCAGCCCTCACTGGTGGTCGGCAGGAGGAAGGCGCACCCGGCGAGGCAAGCCACCAGCGAGGAGAGCAGCATTCCGCCCCGGGCCGGTGCTTCTCCCACACCTCACGTGCCTTTCTAATCGGAGACTGGAAGAAGTGGAGTGGGACTCATCAGAGTGTCTCCACGAGTCACCATCCTGGCGCGTAAAGGTGTCCTCTTCGCCGCCTGGAGAGAAGAGGAACCGTCCTGCGCACGCGACACTCCCCTGTCCAGAGCGCACGCGGAGCAAGAGGCATAAATAGGTGAGAGGAGTTTGTCTTGGCACGCAGGATCAAAGCTGCGCATCGGAGCTGGGAGAGAGGAGAGAGGAGCGGAGGCTCAGGACGTCCCGCAGCTGTAGCTGCCTCAGAGGCTCGCGCTCTCTGTGAGGAGCTGAGCTCCTGCTGTGGGACAGATGAGGAGGAGGACCGCGCCCTGCTGGACCTGCCCTCCGCTCTGTCCTTTCCTCTCCTCCCATCCAGATGGCAAAAGTCTGTGGCCTCTTTACTTTACTTCCAGCCTACGGGCCCTGCGCGTTCTCACTCTGTCCTTTTGGACCCGCGGCCTGGACTCAGGACGCGTGACAGGAGCGCAGGTGCGCGCGTAAAAACTTTCAGGCCCCTGGCGGCTGCAGCTGACAACACAAGTCAGATTTAAGGTTTTCATATGAACTGGACATTAAAAACACCAGTTAATAATTTTTAAAAAAGTGTACAATGTGAAAACCTTTTCTTCCAAATGAACTTACACTCAGTCTCAGCTTTATAGTGGAGGATGGTCATTCTGCAGGGTTTAACATGTAAACAGCATCGAAGTGTTCAATTCACCTCTTTTTTGTCACAAAATATCAAAATCAGAACTATTTGCAAAGAATTTCCACCTCCTGCTAATATGGAGCCATGATGTTTTTGTCTCTGTGTGTGTGCATCTGTTAGCAAAATATATTCTGAACCAGAAAACAGATGTAGTATTAATCAGATGTACATCTACAACCGATTAAAGCTTGGAGACAATCCAGTTTGAGATGACCACCACAAATAATTACCATTAACAAACACTACTATGAACTTAGCAGAGAAAGTAAGGAAATTTGTGTTTAGTAGATTGTTTTAGTGCTTCTAGCCGATGTCATAGAAAGCCTGTTAAGTTTCACTATTCAATGGTGCCACATTTATAAGGAACATGCATTTGTGAGATGAGCAGTAGGACTGATATATGGGTGGCACACATAAAATTTTTGCCAAATGCTCTCTGCTAAACAGCTTATTTTGCTGTCCACTCTTGTTTTGAGTGTCTGGTACCAACTAGTGGCAATCCCATATCTCCACAGTCTTAGACCCAACTCTATCCTCTATAACTCTCAATGTGGTTTATCAGAGACGACTTCCAGAATCAAACACAAATGTCCTTACTTTTAGAAACAACTCTGTCAATTTGTACTAATATTGAGCATAAATTTTGTTTGGTATAGTAACTGAGTCCTCCCCAACACATACTGTATTTTCAGTAACACCTTAAAATACCACAGCTGCATGCATAACATTGAAAGGGTTTGATAAAAATAGCTAAAACACCATCTTTCTCACCTCAAGATGGACATTGTCAGAAACTCTGGCATGAAAAGCAGTAGGCGATAACTTGTTAGCTAGCCGGGAGGACACACAATGACTGCTTAAAGAGTAATTTACCCCAAAATTAACTTTTTTAGCTGATAAACTCTCTAGAATGTGTCTAAAATGTTATATAGTACTGTTTCTGTGCTAATTTTGATGTTTTTGTGCGTATTTGTTCAAATCTGTAATATTTGGTCTAAAAACCTTGGTTACGTATTGTAACCCCAGATTCTATGAGTGTAAGCGCAGCCCTCTAAGGCTATCGCAGATGGGTACCCC